TAAGTATAACCATTTCATAATCAGCCAAATTATGCATGTCTGTTAAAAACCAGTGAAAACTTTTGGCAACTTGTAGAAAACAATTTAGCTCTTTAATACATAATTATAAAGCAATGTGCATGTGTTGGGAAATATCCTAGGAAGAAGAATATAATTTTGAGGAATACAACCCAGTTTCTGCTTAACTAATGTTTATTTATTTCTCAAATTTATCAGACTCTCCAGCTATAAACTCTGGCAGTGTACCACGATAAAAATAGGTAAAAAAACAATAGTATATTATAACAGTAACAATAGTGATGACCAGAAACAGCAACAAAACCTATTATCTATCATAGGTATTTCTATAAAAATCCCCGCCATCCATCCTAGCGCAAACCCTTGGATAAAATCCATGTTTTTAAGGACTATTTAAACAAGGGCATTGTAGGGTTCATATGAATCTTAGGAAGGACTTGTTGTTCCAGAGAGCAAGCTCCGTGATAGAGAAAACTCACTTCCTGAGTCTCATCATATCACACAGTTTTATTTATCTTGAGCATGCCAACTTTGCATGTCTCAGATAACCAGGACCAATGCTATTAAGAACTTTAGAGAGGCTAATCAACACCTTGAAGTGCACCCAGAACCTAGTGCACCTCATTATTGGAGGTGTTATGTGACTGTACTGTGGTTATGTCCATCATTGGTCCACTATATTCTGGATAAGTTGCAGTTTCTAAGTGATCTTTCAGAACATCCTTATGAAGAATATATTGCAATAGTCTATAGGAAAGATGACCAAGGCTTGAGTGACCATCCGGATAGCCTTGTGATCTAGGATCTGGTGCAATAGGGGTTGGACATTAATATTCAGGCCTGATATCAAATTTGAGGGTTTTCCTAAAACTCAAAACCACCTTCTGCTCAAGGAGCAGTTGGCAGCTTCGCCATGAAAGTCTCATCTAGGAATAATCTAGTCTGCCAGTTGTATACAAGATTGGGCTCTTGATTTTTATCCTACTGTCCTGGCTCTATAAAGAAGGTTCTGAGGATTATTGGGTTCTCTAAAAAGGTATGGTGACAGAGGCTTCAATAGGAAGGAGGTTAAAAACTATCCCATGTACAGAGAAGCACTTTACTTAATGCCAAATGGCTAGTGAATAGAATGGCCACACTATAAATTTCAATGGATAGATTTCACCCCAGATCTAGCACAATCACACCTTGCTTTTTCAGTGGTTTCATTGGCATGTAGGTACTTATCTCTTAAAACAGTAAGATATAAAACTGCTTATGTTGATTAAGAGTTTATTTTATTTATACTAATAAAAAAGAAGTGTCTGGGTGAAGGTCAAAAAGTCAAAGTGGTGACCCTGAGAACTTAATTCAAACCCCAATGTTTTTAATATGAATCACTGTAATGAATAAGTGAATAAAATAGATGGAAAGCTGCTGAATGAATGATGCTGTAATGAATCAAATTGTTTTGTAGCTAAAGCAAAAGCTATTTGACTATGACTGACAACTATTAACTAGATATTCTCAGTGCTATAAAAATGATAGCAAATTAATATAGGTTTTTAAAGTACTCATTAACATTTCTCAAGAGACCTTAAGAGCTCTGACAGACTTCTATTCATATCAAGAATTTAAGGGCTCTCCATAGAAAAGTTCTTTAATGGCTCCTAAATAATTTCCTATTGCCTCATGCCAGCTATACATGGATCAGAGGACTATAAGAATTGGCTAATCAATTAATCATAGACATTTACACTGATTTTTTTGGAAATTTATATTGGCACTGAAATCCATTATGAGTTGCATGCTATTATGAAAATAGTTTTTAATGAATATATTCAAGGCTAAACTTTACATTCAGAAATGCCAATTGCTTCTGATTTTTCATGCAGACTTTGTATGATTTGTCTAACATGGCAAGTTCTGAAATGTTCACATTGGAGTTTTTATACTCAAAGTTGTAATGAATCAGACTTAAATAGATGTAATTATTATAAGAGATCCTGCATATGCCTACTCAAAAGCAAATCCGTCCAGGTCCAAGAAAGCTGTTTTCAGAAAATAGGGCGTAACATTGGAGCTTACTCATTTAGCCCTCTGTAAGCACTTCTAATTCAACTTTGTTGCTTTATCTAAACTAGCAATAAGAACCATATGCCTATTCCAGATGTTGATAGACTCTAACTCCTGCTAGATTATTGCAGTGATATGATATGGGTTCTGTTTTAATAACATCTGAACAGTCATATTCTTACTATCCCTAATTTAGACACTAGCAAACACCTACAGTACTAACTCTTTCTACAATTTCTAAATATAATTTAGTTTATTCAATACTGTAAAAAGGAAAGTAAAATTAATATTACCTGTAACATTCAAACCATCTGATCTTTGGCACCATACAGTCCGAGATGACTCTTTCCAGGGGCTGGCCATCCAATTGTATTCATAACAATGACCATCTGAATTGAAAACCGAAAAGATTCCATTATTTTCTAACTTTTGGCTTGGATTGAAAAGTTATACCTGGTGGTTGCCTTCCATTTTGCTTCTCATTTCAGTTTTAGGAATTAGAATGGCACATCAAACGTACAGAAATCTGCCCTCACATAGTTCATGCATATATTTATTTTAGATATATTTAATTCTCAAGAAAAACACTTTATAGTTTATAGATATTAAAAATAAATATATGGCTGCATGGCAAATAAGGGCAGCATATGATCAATTTCCATTTAAAATCTTTACAATTTTAAGAAAAATGAAACTTGTTCGATATAGAAAAGAAATTGAAGTGAACAACAAGAAACTTCCTCTACATTCTGTAATTGTAATGCCATCATTAAAAGGGCTTTTTCCTATCCTGGCATGTGATGATTGTCTAAAACTGAGAGGTTATCCTCCTATGGGCCAAACCAAAGGTTAGATTCATCTGGAAGGGACAATGCAACAGATATCTGACTCAAAGCTTTTACCAGTTGAAAAAAGCACCAGCATTTTGAATTGGACCGAAAGAGGGGTCAAAAGCTTAGTAAAGATGTTTTAACCCCAACAACTTCCTTTTCGATGCTCACTTGAAGCAGTATTTCCTATCAAATTTTATTTTGAATTATCTTCAAAGGCAAGTATTGCTTGAATCAAGCCTAGATGTTACCAGCACGTGAATTATCTTACTAAGTTCACTTTGCCATAAATGGCTGCAATCTTCAAACACCGCATTCAAGTCCCAACTCTGTTATTGAAATATTGGGTCAAAAGTGGGGACCTTCTGCACAGAGCAATGCATGTTTCAGTGCTCAACTCTGGACCCTCCCTCTTTATAGATAGCACAGAGAGAAAAAGTGTGCATTCATTTTATGTATCTGTAACAGGAGAGAGAGATATTCCTATTATTATTATTATTATTATTATTATTATTATTATTATTATTATTATTATTATGTGTGTTTATTAACAGATTTTTAAAAATTCTGTTTTAAATGTGAGTTATGTATGTGTATACTTTGAGAGCAAGCAACTAAATTTCATTTTTAATGTGTGCCATTGTGCCCACAGGAAAAAATGACAATAACGTTTATCTAATCTAATCTAATCTAATCTAATCTAATCTAATCTAATCTAATCTAATCTAATCTAATCTAATCTAATCTAATCTAATCTAATCTAGAATGGCACATACTTTGCTAATAGATTCTGGCACTTACCACTACACTGTCTTGTCTCCAAAGCTTGGTCTGGACAAAGGTGCTGATTTTCTACATCCTGAACAATTACTGCTCGTGATCGAACCTGTATTCCTCCAAAACCAAGATCTTCCCCATTGATGCAGGTCAGCTGACAAATGCTCCAGTGTGACCACTCCTTTAAGTAACAGTCACCTACACAGCAAGGGGAAGGGGCATATAAATGACCCAACATGTTAACAAAGAAAAAGGGTTTGTGATAATTTCTTACAGTTAATTAAATGCTGCCCTGACCATAAAATATTACCATTCTGCCCAAATTTATTTTTTTTAAAATAAACTTCATTCCCAAACCTTTGCATAAGCATAAATTTATATAACTGGTATATTATATATTTTAGTTTTCATGATTTAACAGATTACAAAGTATTTCTCTACAAAATATTATTTAGAATGAGCAGCACATACATTTAATAAACAATCAAATAACAGTCTAAATAACTGCCTTGCTTAGTGATGGTTCAAAGTTAAAACAGTATAGAAAAAAAAGCTATCTCAGCATCCTGCTCATATATTCAGCATCTGTGTGCTTCACAACTGCCTTGCAACAAGCAGAATTAAACAAAAAGTCTGAAATAAAATTTTAGGTTTTGGTCACGTGATGATTTAATGACTAAAGGGGAACTGAGATCTTAAGCCTATCACGGGTATGTGAGTTTCTGCTTAGAAATTGTGGTGCTTAGTCACTCCTAATTGTGTTCATTAATCAAGGACTACCTATACCTATTAGATTGATATTCTGATTTTGTTTTTTTGTTTTATCCCCCGGAGCTCAAGCCACAGTATGTAAGCATAGCCCACTGTAAGTTTTCCACAATTCTGCAAGGAAGGCTGGTCCGACAGACATAATTGTCTGACAGTCATGAAGTGACCTTCCATATGGAGGATGGACTGAGCCTGGTCTCCCAGGTTCTAGTCTAACTAACTCTTCACCCACTGGAGCTAAGTAGATTTGGCAGCAGAATAGTGGTAAACGATAGGGCTATGTATTCAGGTTCAAAAGGCAAACATGGGCATGTGTCTGAAGAACCACTGCCACCAATAAAGGAGAATATTTGTACTTCAGATTGATATGGTGCTTTCTGAGTTTGGTTGTTTTTTTTGTAGATGCTTCGTTACCCAAACTAGGTAACATCATCATGCTCTATACAATGATAATGTTACCTGGTTTGGGTAATGAAACATCTGCAAGAAAACAACCAAACTCAGACAGCAACAACTGCAAAGCACAGCTGCTTCAATATGATCAAGAGAAAGGCTTGCCACATATGTGTAAGAGCTATTAATCATATTTTGCTCTTTGAATCATACCCTTACTAGACAATAAAAAGGAGGCCAATAGTTCCTATTACTTCCTCTTCTAAGGTTGAATCAGACATACTGTAGACAACCTCAAGGAAACAAGCACACCTATCTCATTTCAATTACTGAACATTTTAGTCATGCTTTAAAAGGATGCAAAGTGAGTTCTTTCAGGAAAGGAAGGGAAAATTTTAAAAAGTCCAGTTTTGCTGATTTACAGTTTACAATGTCCCAGAAGCTTTAGTTAAGTGTAAGACAGATGCTGGAAGTTATAGTTTAGCGGTAGTTGCAGCACCAAGAGATTTCCAACTCTGTGGTAAGAGAGGTGGCAGGTTTAAAATAATAGACACACAAGGCTTTTGTTTTGGTATTTTAGATGTTGATATAGTATGGTTCATTAAAGAAAAAGAAAAAAAAGCTGGAGCAATTGTGAACGAGCAAACTCTTTGGGGAGTTTAGGGTCCTTAGCAAATGCTCAAACCTGCGTAACTCTAATCAGAAATACATGAAAAATTATTCCACCTCAATGTTCATGGAAATGTAAATTGTTTATATCCATATATATCTAATACCTATGCAACCCTCTGAAGACACACAAATCATACTTACCAATCCTCAGTGTGCTTGGGAATTTAAAGAAATGTAAACAATGCATATATTAAGAAAATTTCTATACAAATAAAGAGATCAGGGCACAAAAATGCATTAGATTAAAAAAATGCTTATAAAAAAAATCTGTATCTCAGGAAAATCTATACAAAATATATAGATCTTAGAAAAATATGCCAGAAAACGCATGTACATTTTCATACTTTTTTAACAAAAAATCGAATTATTTAACCATAGCAGAAAGATATTTTCCAGTTTCTACTAAATAAATTCTATGCTTGTAAAAATCATGGAAGTTTCACTATGGATTGAGGGAGCCAGGCAAAACCTTTTATGCTAAAAAAAAAAAGGGGGGGGACTAAAGTCATATTTGCAAAAAGTATTGTAAATGGAGGCCATAAAGCTAGAAAGGCACCCAAGCTTGCAAATGAGTACAGAGCTTTAATTATTTCAGTACATGGGCTATTAAAAATTCATGTTGCTTTTACATTATGTTGACAAGTAAAATCAACTCAGTGTTAACAATGTGTTAATAAAGAAAGTTTATTTGCAAACATTATAACATTGTGGTAAAGAAATGAATTATTGAATAAACAATATATGTATAATTGGGGCATATGTACCATCTTTTGAAACATTAACCAGAATGCACTATTAACCTATCCCCACAGGGCTGTTAATTTTTTTGGTGAAATATAGGGTGGGATGGGAAAGGGGGTTCAAGTAAAAGACTAATACAATTCCAAGAATAAAAACAAAGCTCTTGTGGTGTTAAAGATTACTTTTAAGTTCTTGTTGAGTTGGTTAGCAAAAAAAAAAAAAATTCCATGCAAAAATTGGTAAAGATTATGTTTTATTCTATAATGGAAAAAAGGAGGCAATTTTAAGTAAAGCTTAATCAAAATGTATTGATTCTCCTGCTGGCTGTCTTACTATTTCTTCCTAATTACTGTTTCAGGAATCATTGCAAAAGATTCCAGTTCTTAAAGTAGTTTTAGATTGATTAGAAATGAGTGATGGAATAGCAATGAATGATGAAACTTATAAAAATAAAAATGCTTATGTTTAAACTGTTTATTCAAAACAGAAAGACTTCTGAGGAGCAGATACTCATCTAACAATCATCATTTCTTTGGGCGGGAGGGGACTGATTCAATATTATTATCATTCTCACTACTCTGTTCATGCAATTTAACAATATTCCTCCCACAATATTTCTGCATTTATTGACAGTGTTTCATAATTGTTCCTAAAATTCATTTCTGGTTCTTTCTTAATTACTATTTAGTGGATTGTAACATGTAGCTGTCACTAACCTATTGATTCCTACTTTTGTATCCATTCATAGCAATCAAGGAAACACAATTCATACATTGACACATGTTCTAGTTATTTCATATGTCTCCACTACTTGTCCATTTTCATAAATTTCTCTTACATTCCAAGTAGCCATTTTTCATATGCCAGTTGTCACAAACAGGGCCAATAGATATTGATCTCCATGATCTATCCTGGCTTTAATCTAATGAGGCTTTTGCAAAATACTGTTCACAAAGGATTTGTATAGACAAAGTTACCTGTCCTAGACTTACCTGTCCTGTAGCTAGGACAGGCCTGGCAAGTTCTGTCATATTTTATCAGCACCACCACAAATGCAATCAATGTCAATTTTGTAATAAGTATGCTCATGCTATTCTGTGCAAGCTTATCTCTAAACCAGAGACTATTCTGCAGTCCCCCATTTTCTTTTTTTATAAATATTAATGTTAGGTTAATTAAGTTATTAATATACTAATAACATTTACCCTGCTGTTGTAATAAGAGAGCTTAAAGAAAAGATTAATGGACAGCTAAAATTCCTTTTGCCTTACTTTGATCTATAACAATACAATATAAGAAATAACATATTCTTTTTGTCTTTCTTCCAACAAATCAATCTGCATGTATTCAACATCAGTTTTGCAAAATATACAAACAAATGAAATACCTGGACAAGGTACAGTACAAGCTTCTTCAAGTACAAGTTTCTTATTGCCATCAACCATAGGTTCAATTTCCCCACAATATTCTTCATCGACTTTTTTGCCAATGTCATCACTAGATCCATCATAGACCACACAGAAAATATTTCTAGTTCTTGTCCCTTCTCCACACTGGGCATCCTGGAAAAGATGTTCACAAGAAGTCAGAATAAGAAAAAACAACTGAATAAAATGCCAGAAAGGGGCACTAGGATATTGGGCCATGCTTTGAAACCACAGCTAGTGCCAAAGTGTGTACAATTAGTGGCTTAACTTGTGATAGCTAAAGAGATACATGTATTGTGTAAATAAAAATTCCACTGAAAAGCCAAAATTGATACACAACATTTTAGGTTTAACCATTTAAGTCATGTATATTTCCTAAATCTAGGAAAAATCAGGTCATATATATTTTCTATGTGCACATTAAATAAAAAGTTCTTATTTAATAAAGGAGACAAGTATAGATAAGACAGAATAGCTCATTAGTGAATTGTTCTACAGAGTCTCGCTTTTCTGTTTAGGCCAAAGTATAAGTTTTACCTCAACTTTACATTCTTCCCATGGACTATACTGCCATCGATAACAAGGTTTTACTGGGCAAGGCTTGAACTGCTCCATTTGTGAAGGACAAGGCCTGCCATCACCTTGGAAAGGTTGAGTAACAGTTCTCTTTCGTGTCATCCTTCCTTCAAAGCAGAGAAAAAGAGAGAGCATTTAGCACTGATATTGTATGTGTTTTAAGGCATGTCATTTCATGTCATAAGTCCTGCCTTAGGTAGGAATGATGTTCTTCCCTGCATAGCTGGAACATTTAAGGTTCAGCCCAGAAATATAGTTTCACATGGCCGGGATCAATCTTTCCCATTCAACTGATCTCCAGATGTATTAGATTCAACTCACAGAACTTCCAATCAGTAATTGGGCTGATTAAAGTCCAGCATAGCTAGATGATACCAAGTCGGGAAGGCTGGTTGGATCAATTAAAATTGGAAAGTCGAAGTTCCATTATGTATCAGATGTGACAGACCTGCTTCAGAATTTGAGCTGTACTTCAAGAATTTATATACATATAACCCCCCCTCTTTCCCCCTCCCATTAGTGATTCTGAATAATTTGGGTTGGTTCCGGTTTTTTTTCCTGCTGGGATAAAATGTACAGTGGTGGGACAAATAAATGGATGTATTACAAAGCATGTAGATTTGTATATTTTCACTTGTTTTGTCTGCACAGGATAATTTGACATCTTCTTGATATGAATCTAAGCTTGACATATATTTGATATGAATCTAAATATACAAAATACTATCACCTTAACAGGCCAAATTTGAAGCAATAAAGAAATAATTGTTATATTGAATGTAGTTTTGACAGCCACTAACAACAGAATTATCTGCCACTGCTATAAATGAACCATGTCACAATGTTATCATAGTTCTATGATACAGTATTATAAATGAAATGAATTCCCTACTCAAAAGAGATTGCCTCAAAATAAGATTAACATCTATAATGCATTCTTGATTAAGTATCCATCTAACCTTACACTTCCACTTTATAAGCCATAAACCCAAAAAACCCAAGCAAAATGAAATAATTGTTGGCTTAGAAGCCAACTGACAACAGGAGACATCCACATGACAGGGTTGGGCTTTCCTTGAAAGACTTGGCTCATAATCCACACTTCTCCTAGAATCACCACTGCTGCTGGAAGAGCAAGGGGAGACCAAAACCAAGAGGGCCTACCCATATCAGTTGCAACCTTACCTAGAACAAGAGGCACTAGGACCATGGCTTACATTTTTGTCTTCCTGTACTTCAATTACTAAAATTCACATAAATTGAAGACCACTTCAAAACATCAGCTAACACAAAGTGCGTCAGCTGTTTAGTATACAATTGAAGTACAGTCACATAATACTATTGCAGGAATTGTGCTGGTTATTGATCTGTTTCCATCTGCAGTTCAAGGATGCTGACTGCTGCCTATATAGCATGGGACTGGATATTTCAGAGACTCCCCATCCCAAGTCAACTGTATCCATCTAACCTGAGAAAATAGAAGTGTTATTCAGTCACTAAGTGTAACCGACTCTTCATGATCCATGGATCATAGCATGCCAGGCCTCTCTGTCCTTCACTGGGTCCCACAATTTGCCCAAATTCATGGTCATTGCATTGATGGCTTTATCTAACCATCTCTTCCTCTGCAGTCCCCTTCTCCTTTTGCCTTCAATCTTTCTCAACATCAGGGTCTTTTCCAGGGAGTCTTCTCTTCTAATTTGGTGAGAGCTCCTGTTAAAAGCCCTCTCCTATTAGGAGGAAGGGGCACTGAAGCAGGTGTGTTTGATGGCAGCAATTTTTCTTTGGCAAACTTATGGCAAACATAAATACTGCCCACTTTTATGAACTTCCAGAGAATAGTAAAAAAACTGACTTTTCAATAAGCCTTTGGTAATTAGCTAAAGAAAGATTTATGCCATTATTGTATGTTATTATTGTTTTGTTTTTATTACATTGTTCTATTTATTGAGCTTTGATTTTGTACTCTCTAGAGCCTAAAGAGTCAGGCATTTAATAAACTCATACATAATCAAAGGATTTATCTTTTTTGAAGCTTAACCTGCTGCGTGAATCCCCCTATTATGTCTTAGTGGTATAGTGTCATATATGCCATCTTTACCACTCTGGTTTGCTAAGAAATCAAAGTTGAAAAATTCTGGCTTGGCATTATCTTTGTTCAGGTCACTTTAAATTTCACCCATTTGAAAAAAATCAATCAGGCTTTGGTTAAAAGTAATCCTAGTTGCCACCATAGGATGGTGTGAGTAAGAAACTTAAGGGGAAAAGGCACCTATTCCACAAGTAGATCCAATATTAAAAAAAATAGTGAGGAGTATTGCCCTTGTTTTATGTTTTTTTCCTTACATGTAATTGAGTAAATGTTCTTCATAATTAAGGCCTAAGTCCAAATAGGAGAATGTCTAGTCTCAGTGCTATCAGTTTTAGTATCTTCCTCAATATTCTAGTTTTTGTGAGCACAAAAGAGATGCCTTTATAACATAGATGTAAGCTAATTTGCAGAAAGGAAACATAATATCATCAGGCAAAATTTCTTCCAGCTTAAGACAAGCTTTATTTGCTCCAATATACCATACAGCGGTGTTTCTCAACCTTGGTAACTTGAAGACGTATGGACTTCAACTCCCAGAATCTTCCAACCAGCAGTTATTTGAAGTTCATACATCTACAATTTGCCAAGGTTGAGAAATACTTCATAGAGATAGCTTCCTGTGGTCATTCCACAGAAACATTCATTTTGTTTATCTTCTGAATCAGAATAGCAATTTATTCAGCAAAAGGTTGCCAATACAACAAGCTTATAGGAAAGCAAAGCAAATCTGCTTCAATCTAGAAATCTCCCTTCTTTTTTTTCTGATGACTGATAATTGGGCTCATTTATCAATCACCACAAAGCTTCTGAACTAACCAGTTAGACCACAAGCCTGCGAGCATTCAGACCACAGAGACCAGTCTGACAGTTGACAATTCACAGGACATTCCACCATGCAGGAGGTATTCATATTCCAAGTTTTTTCCAGACTAAGCTAAAAAAAAAAAGATATAACAATCAGTATATCAGATGCAAGATTATTAATTCAACAGAAGATGACACGGATTATAAATTAATAATTACAAAAGGAAAAATTGTACTAATTTATATAAGAACCTAAATATGTTCGTAGTTCTTTAATAAAATTAGCCAGCTTTCTCTTACAGAACAGAAAGGAAACCTACAGCCTCAGTTCCATTTTATGGCCATCGTAGATCATTAGGATCATACTGACGAAATTCAACAGCAAAGTGTTCATTTTCAGTGGTTATTCTGAACCGTATAGCTCCATGTAACCTTGTATAGCTCTATGTAACCCTAACTAGAGAGCACGTATCAGTATGTTAGTAATAGGTCAGTGGGAGGAGTTTCTAAAGGGCATTGAGAGACTTCCTGGACACTAGCCACTTGGGAGTTCCTTTGTTCATCTTGTGCATCGCATCCAGCCACACGGCTGGAGATCCCACAATTATCCCACCATGTGACACTTGGGCAGAAGAGGGGAAAATCCAACATCAAATTACCTATGGGAATGAACAGAGAGATGTTAAGCCAGGAGTAACCTCGTAGATCCAGGTATTTCCTCTGCAATAAATATTATCTGTTTTAAAATCATTTTTATTGAGTGGTCTGTCTGCCTTGGATTGAACCACCAACCGGTGTTCTGTCTGGGTCAGAATAGTAGTGCAATTAAAAGAAAAGCTAAAAAAGTATGTTAAAAGGCAGGTCTGCACTATCCTCATTCCTGACATCAGTATTATTTTTCTGTGGTCAATAATATCTTCAATAACAACAAAAAAAATCCAATAAAAATTTGATACTGTATGAAAAAAGATCCTTCTGCCCCATTCCCATGTTCTGGGGGTCAGTAATACAATCATTAGTGTGACTGCTTGAATTTCTGAAACTAAGGGATATGGTCCTGCTTATGACCATATCATTTAGAGAAAAAAATTCCAGTCCCAAATACCATCATAATTTGAAAACTAACCATAATATAAAATATTTTTCATGAAAAAATATTTTTGACAACAAAAAAGAGGTATTGTTCTAAATTTTTGAGAATATCTTCAATATTTGGAAAATAATTTTGCTTTTGAGGACTCTTAAGAGGATTCTAGAACTACACTTTAATAAATATTGTTCTAGTACATTCAAACAGCAGGTATTTTGTGCAAAAAAAAAATAGACTTCCTGATGTCTTGCTTACAACTGTGTGATGGGAAAAATATGCATCAGAGAATAGTACAAAAGAATGGAGAGCTAAATATTAAAACAATGATCCTAAATTATAATGGGAAGTAAACAAAATGGCTCGACCCTATTTATTCTAGTAGTTGATGTAAAGACTGATTTTTTTTTTTAAATGGGAGGGAATGATTATTCAGGTTTCCCACTTTATTAATTCCACCATTCCTTATCAATTTCAGAAAAGGCACTCATGCTTTCCAAATAGCCATATTAAGAGGCATTCACTGAATCCTGTCTCATTAAATAAACAATATAAAATAATACAACCGAAACCAATTGCCAAATATTGTTTGGAGACATATGCTATTAGATTTCATGCCAAGCACAGCAATAAATCTCAGGTCTCCAGACATTCCACTTCAGGGGACTTGCTTACAGCAGAAGTTCACAGACACAACATGATTACGTATGTACTCCTTTATTGCAAATGAGATAGAAGCCATATATACACAAATGATTTGCCTTTTGCAGAATGCAGAAATTAAGCCCCATATTTTGCTTCATAGTTGAATTTTAGGCCTTTTCCTTCCACATCTTTGAGGCTGTGGAAAATTGTTCTGTTCTCTTTCCAGCCTTGATTGAGCGGAACCTACTCAATAGTTGTATAATGATTATTTTACCTAAGACTTCTAATTAATGTCCTAACCAGCTCCATCCACATACACACACACACACACACACCCCTTACATTCTAATTACAAATTAACACCTTCCACAGACATTTTTAAATTTAAGATCTATATTTATTGTTTTAATGTTTTATGCTGCATTTTATTCAATGTCTGTAAGCTGTCTAGAGTCAATTTTGGTGAGATAGGCATATATAAGTTTGCTAAGTCAATCAACATGAAAGTAATTTAATAAATACTGTCATTTCGATATATTAAAATGTATTTGTGCAGGCATTTTTTTTTAATTTACAAAAGGGCCAAACAACTTACAACTGGGAAAATAAAATTTGAAAAGACAGAGACAGGGAGAGAGAAAAAGAGAAATGCACTCTGGCAGAAGATCAAACTGTTACAAAAGAATCACTCCAAATTAGGACAATGATGGCTATTCCAGTTAAGATTTATTATACTTATTCACCTTGATGGCTTATTGTTCCCACACCATTATTTCAGAAGAAGGGGGAGGAATAGCATACCTTAGTGATCACTCACTTAATAAAAAGAGAGAATTAAATGACAAAATCACTGATCATGGCAAAAATTCATTTAGGGCTACATAGCAGTTCCTGAATAGCTTTGAGAAGCATCTGTCACAAGACTGATCACATGCACCAAAGAGAAAGCTTTAGGGATGATGGTTTTCAACCACAAAGCAAGGAAAAACATTCACCTACCTTTTCACAATACAACAGGTCAACTGACTTGCCATCGCTGCGAACACAATCAAGCATTCTTGTTTTGATCCCAATGCCACAAACAGCTTTCTCACTTAGCTGGCAAGTGCTCCAGTCTTGAAAGGAAGGGGAGATAAAAAAAGTGACAAAGATCTTCTGTGTGTTGTATCAAAAGACAACAAAATGCAGTAACCTGTCCTCCCCCCTCATTCATATTTTCTTTCATTTTTAAAAGATTCAGATGACTTACAGTGGATTTCTTATGTCAGCCTCCTAGGAACACAACAAGTGATAAACATAGCAATGAAATTAATATACACTGAACCAGCCTCTCAAATAGATAATTCTGGGCATGCTAGCTTCATCACATTGACCACCTTGTAAGAGTGCATAAAATAGTAGCCAAATCCAGAAGAGAACAACTTCAGAGACCATTATAATTTTTAATAGGAAAGAGAGTAAGTGATATAACACAGGGCAACTATTATCTACATTTAATTAAATTAGATATAATTCAAATTTGATTCTGACTCCACACATGTCATCAACCTAGGCACACCCTATTTCTCAGGGCTGCGGTTCTAAGCACACTTTTCTAAGCTCAGCAAGGTTCTTAGCAGGAAAAAAGTTGGGAATCCCAGCAATGTTTGTTTTTGACTCTCAAAGGCCAGACAAAGAAAATGGGAAAAGGTATCCTTCATTCTGATAGTGAACTTTGTTCTCTATCTGTGAATTCAGATCCCAAATAAAACTATCCAGATACAAAAAGGAAGGTCGGGAAAGTTTGGGAGAACTTCAAAATTTGTGGAACTAACCAACTAATCACATCAACTCTAGAAATAGTCTTTGATTTATGACCATTCATTTAACAATGATTCGAAGTTACAACTGCTTAGAAAAAAGTGACTTATGACCTGTACTCATACTTACAACTATTCTATCCCTCCTGCTCACATGATCACAATTCAGAAACCTGGCAAACTGGCTCGCATTTATGACTCATTTCAGTGTCCTGATCACAGTTGTGATTTGTGGCCTTTTTTGCTGATTTTAAAAAAAACAAACACCAACCCAGCAAAAAAAAAAATATGCCCATTGGGGAAACTGGATTCCCTTAACAATTTCCATAAAAATTGTAGCAAATTCAGTTCTGACTTGACTTATGACTGCAACGAATTACAACAAATTCTGGTCCCAACGGTGGTTGTAAGTCAAGGACTACTTTTATATGGAGGAAGATCATCAAATGTACACTTGGGGGGGGGGGTGTCTGAGAGAATCCAAATAGCTTGATTGCAGAATGAATGATCTACTTACCAGACACAGAAGAGTAGGGGAATTTGGAGATGGAGATGTAATGGAAAAGTATCAGGATATAAAATCAGGGAAGATGGTATGTTTGGCTATTTGAAAAGAGAATGTGTCTGGCAAGCTGCAATACAAGTAGTCCTTGACTTACAGCAGCTCATTTAGTGACTGTTTAAAGTTACAATGACACTGAAAAAAGTGACTTATAACTGTTTATTTCATAGTTATGATCTATGAAGCATCCCCATGATCATGTGATCAAAATTCAGATGCTTGGCAACTGGTTCATATTTATGACTGTTGCTGTGTCCCAAAGTCATGTGATCACCTTTTGCAACCTTCTGACAAGCAAAGTCAATGGAGAAGCCAAATTCACTTAATAACAGGGTTACTAACTTACCAACTGCAGTGATTCACTTAACAGCTGAGGCAAGAAAGGTCATAAAATGGGACAAAACTCACTTAACAAATGTCTCACTTAGCAACAGAAATTTTGGACTTGATTGTGGCCATATAATCAATGACTACCTATATTTTCTTTCAGGCTGCACTTGTCATCTACAAGTACTTAATCAGCATCTGTACCTGTCACATTGTAATCATAGTGATAGCAGTTTTTGTTCAGATGACAAGGCTCTGTCTCCATTGTAGAAGGACAGGCCTTTCCTTCCTGGGGCAGCCTTAAGATCTTGGCTGAGCGTTCCCTCACACTGCTTCCATTACAGGGCTGAGAAAAGAAACCAAACATCCTTTTACTTTGATCAAAGTAACATCCTTAACACAAATTCTTTAAGGCCAAAGTACTTAAAAGAATTGGGCTCAAAATGCACACTCTCTTAGGAAACTTATTAACTGATTTAGGACTCATAATCATAAAAAAAAATCTGACCAGTTATTGTGAGCATAATAATGTAGAGAGTGATCTGCTTAAATATAACATTTAAATACTTTAGTATATACTTTAAATACTTATATTTCTTGAAAATATAATTCAATACGTATACTGTTTTGATTAATAAGCTGAATGCCTGAATTAAACTAATGATATTTTAGTTAGGTTGTTATCAATGACCTGGAACAGGGGTCCCCAACCTTTGTCGGTTGATGGACAGGAGGAAAAGGGAGGGGGAAGCATTTTACATGAGTGTGTGCGCGTGCATGGGGTCGTGAGCATGCACACACTGCAAACGTAGTGGGGCTTGTGCCCACATGATGCTTACTAGCCCTGCTCCATTCTTGTGTGGTGCAGTGCCTTGTTTCTGTGCCCCGTGGCACGCAGTGGCCATTTTTGTGCTTTGCAGTGTAGCAGACGCCCATTTTTGTACCCTGTGGTATGGCGGTGCCCTGTTTTTGTGCCCCATGGTGTGGCGGTGGCCCGTTTCCACACCCCATGGCATGGCATCAATTTTTGTGCCTTGCAGCGTGGTGGTGGTGGCCCGTTTTCATACCCCATGGCTGTAGCGCTAGCGTAAGTGAGGGGGTATGCAGAATACAGAAATATATCATTTCATATATACAACCTGAGATGGGAATTCATTGTCAACAATTTTTAGTGTCAAATTGTATTACCAAGAATTACTCTGTGCTACAAACATTTCCAGCAATCTAAAGATGAGATAACCAACCTGGAGTTGTTTGCCCCAAGGGGGAAAAGGTGGTAGAGAATTGACAGAGCAATTACTCAAAATATACAACCTCTAGCATCTTTAGTTTAAAAGGAACAGGAAGCAGGTTATGTAAAAAAAATCCGCTTACTTTCAGAGATGATAATCAAACACTAGATGGTTTGACTCTATGGCTTGATAGAAAGGTAAGTTATACATAGAAATATCTAGCTGAGTTACTGGCTAGGCATTTCAGAAGAAAGTATCTTGGTCAATTTTGATTTGGTTGGACAAAAAAATCTTTACTTTCTTAAATTTGATCATTATATATTTAAAATAATAGTTGCCTTACCAAGGAGCACCTAGACCAATGGCCCCACTCGGATATTACACAGTCTTCTGGACATGGCAGTATGCATTTTCTAGCACCAATTGGCATCTCTTCTTGATCACAAAGATAGTCTTCCACAATATCTGAAGGACCATCCACCGTGTTTTGCATGCATCTGGAAAGGCAAAGCCCTTAGATGTAGTAGAAGTAAAATTATGCAGCTGAAACTAATTATACACTATATTTAGATTTTTCCTATATAGAAAGGCCTGTATTGAATTAAGGGAAAAATAAAAATAAAAAAGCAATACGTATTTTAGTGTAAAATAGTGTTCTCCAGTTATGTTATTTAGAATTCCCAAGGGAGCACATTTTGGGAATTTTATCCACATGTCATTTGAAAGAGAGCAGAAAGAGGAAGGTTGTTCTAAAGGTTTTAGCAAACAACTTTTTCACTGAAGAAGATTCCAGAAACAGAAACTTAACCAGACATAGAACATTCTCAACTTCCACACTTAGAATTTCTCCTAGATCATTTGAATAATGAAGGCACTCTAATGAGGAAAGAGTGTTAAACTAGTTTAAAAAGTATAACCAAACTTGAAAAAAATCCCAGGACCAGGGAGAACAACTAGGTTTTCAGTAGCATCCTGAACACTATTAGACAGTAGACATCTGGACCTCTTGAGAGAATATCCCGGAGGGCATGTGTCATTACACAGCAGACAGACACTCTTCCTGGGTTCCACAGGATGATGGTACTTAATTGATGGAATGCAAAGTGTGCCAACTTTGCCCAATCACACTGGATGGGTACAAACTACTGGAGACAGGCAGTTGCTCAAATTTCTGGGCCTTATGCTATGAATGGCTTTATAGTACACTGAATTGCACTGGAAGCCACCTGGTAACCAATGCAGTTGGCAGTGCAATGGGTGTAGCAAGGGGTACCCCAAACTGCCTGCTTCCCTGCATGCTGGACAATCTGTAACTTCCAAGTAGCCTCCAATAGGCAGCCCTATATAGAACACATTGCTATAATCCATTTGTGAAGTGAGGAATGTCCTTGTCCAGGAAAGAGCGTATTTGGCATATTAGATCTGTGTTCTTTTGGCCTAATTTTTCAGACAAAGCAATTGTCTCTATGTTTAAATGCCACTGATCAAAAAATTTTAATTTTAACATTTAGATAGAAAAATCTGGAAGAAATTAAGATTTGGGAGATCAGCCACAATATAGGATTTAGCAGCTTATCTTTCATTTGAGTCAGTGACATTGTACTTGCAAATATATAGTATTTGCAATATATTCCCAGTCTATATTGAATAAAAAATATTAAAATATAAATAAAACAGGATTTGAACACTGCAAGATTTTTTAAAATCCTATAGTCACAACTAGCAGAACTCTTAATCATAGGAATGTAATATCAGTAAATGCTCAAGGAGATAAAAGGTTGATTTGATGTCAACTCAAGCCACCCATCAACATAGAAACAAGAATGTGGAAAGGCTCATAACTATTTTTGTTTTGCATACTAGCAAGAGGATGTCTTGTTGCATACACAAGTCTGAGTTAATCAAAAGGTTTTCTATGCAGTGGCATAGCTTCAAAGAGAAACTTACATGATGATCCTGCCTGTAGTGGGAAGTCCATAAAAATTCTCTGGCCACTGAAAGCTTTTTTATTATTACATAAGCTTAACAAACCTTGCTCTTTCCTCCAAAGTAACAAATGTAATAAAAGTTTAACTTACCTCACTTTTCTGGTTTGCACACCCACTCCACAATTCTCTTTTAAGTCCACATTAGTCACTTTGCAGACACTCCAGGGTTCAGTGATTCCTATATACTGACCACAGTCACTATGGCAAGGGACCACTTCATAGACCTGGAATGCAGAGACAGAAAATCAGCTTGCTTCCTATAGAGAAGGATAACTGGCAGGGAGAACTGGAACAATATTGTAACTATCATTTATTCAAAGTTACGAGGCATGCATAGCAACATTAGCAAGCAAGCATAGGTATGCATAGCAATCGACAATGCTTAAATTTGTTGATTAGGTTACAGATGGGGGAATTTCAAGGCATTCACTCTTTCTGTTTCTGAATATGTTTCACTTCACTTTTATGAAACCAATTTCTTACCTTTCTTACAATCCTTCTCAACTCTTATTTCCCAAATGCATTGACCCATTTCTTTTAGATGCACCAAGTGAGCCATCACGTTGGGCAATACAGCAGCAAGATTTCACTATCTTTTGTTCCTTTTTCACCTTGTACAGTTAAAGGAACACAGAATCTACTAGAACAAATCATAGGAGTTCTAGCAAGGTGTCTAACATTCCACTTTTAGTTGCTCAATTCTACTTTGACTTCAGCAACACCTACATTTACCTTCAGCCACTTACAAATCCATAAGATTTTTACTTGAATGAGGACTTATTGTTCTTAGCAGAAATCCTGGTATTTAATTGATTGGTAAATGACTGCTCAACATCCTATTAAAATCATGTTGTGCCTTCTGCTTGTCAAACCATGATTTACTTGAATATGTAAATCATTACTTTGACAAAACATGGAATAGTAGGGATTACAGGGATAAAACCCACTGAGATCAAGTTTTCATCATCACTATGCTGTTGAGTACCATTATTCCTGCCGTTAAATCAACGAGATAGGGATTTTTATGTAACCTTGGGTTGATTCAGGGTCATAACTGCATTATTTCCACATGGCCTTGGATTAAAAAAACTCTGATTTGGTACTGATCAGCAGTCCCCAGCCTTTTGGGCACCAGGGACCAATTCTGTGGAGAGAGGTTTTTCCTGGAGCAGGACTGGAGCAAGCATGGTTTCGCATGCTGCCTGTATCCCACAAATGGGGCTTTGCTTCTTTGCCCGACCCGGTTTCTGTGCTGGTCGATGGACCAGGGGTTGGGGGCCCCTGGTATAGAGATTGCACTAATGGACTATTGACTAATGGAAATGGGAATGTGATCCTTCCTTTAAGATCTGATTGGATGTAACAGTCTGAATTGGGTAGTATTTTTATTTTGTTTTGTTCTCACCGGTCAAAAGAAATCCAATGTACATGATGTTTTGCCACCATAACTAGTATTTTTAAACAGGTACAATTGGGATAAGTGAAACAGGAAATAGAGGCCAGCTGAAAAGAGATGGAAACATTCTTGGTTGCATGCAAAGGGCCCAGTACGATGCAGACCTACTGACTTTCCTGGCCTTTCAGAACAGATAAATAATTGTGGTTGTACAAAACAGTGTTATCAGCAACTCCTTCTGGTCTGGTCTGAGTGAAGAGTGGGTGTGACTGATTAGATCATCTTGTTAAAGTGGCATTTTGAATTTTAAATCTTATATACCAAAATTAGTCATATGAGTAGGAAGGACACAGGGCTATTAGAGCAGGGATCTCCAAATTTGACAACTTTAAGACTTGTGGGTTCAAATCCCAGAATTCCCCAGCCAGCATTGATGGCTGAGGAATTCTGGGAATTGAAATCCAAGAGTCTTTAAAATTTCCAAGTTGGAGACCCCTGCATTAGAGCATTCCTCAATGGGTTCCTCATGGATCATCTTCATCTATCAAAGGCAGTAATGATTAATAATAACAATGCAACCAATTTTTCATCCCAGTTATATGCTTGCTTCTTGCCTTCCCATTTCTGCCTAGTAAAAAATGACTAATATAAACACAGAAGCATTTTAAATTAGCATTCAGATAGATTCACAGAGAAACTAAAGCAAAAGACAAACACTGCACACAGTAATTAAATCTGATCCAGAAGCATGCGTGGGTTTTACATCTGTTTCACAGCCTCTTACCTGAGCCTGGAACAGGTGTTGACGATGAGCACAAGGGAATGAGCAAGGTAAATAAAAACAATAGTTAGGAAGCAAAGCATATTCACAAAAAGGCAGTTGCTTCAGAGTGGTAAACTGAACACATATAGTTTTGTTGTTTTTGCTTATGTCATTTTATATTGAACTATGCTACCTTTTCGAAGTACAAGCAGACCTTAAATTATGATCACATTTTAGTCCAAAATTTCTGTTGCTAAGTGAGAAAGTTGTTAAAGGAATTTTGCCCCATTTTATAAACTTTCTTGCCTCCGTTGTTAAGTGATTTACTGCAGTTGTTAAGTTAGTAACACAGTTGTTAAGTGACTCTGGCTTTCCTATTGATTTTGCTTGTCAGAAGATGGCAAAAAGTGACCACATGACCCCGGGACACTGCAACCGTCATAAATATGAGTCAATTGCCAAGCGGCTGAATTCTGATCATGTGACCTTGGGGATTCTGTAATGGTCTTAAGTGTGAAAAATGGTCACATGTCACTTTGGTCAGCGCAGTTGTAACTTTGAATGGTCACTAAATGATTTATTGTAAGTCGAGGACTACTTGCACTGGGTGAAAAGTGATACGGTTATACTGTTTTTTTCTGGCTATGTCCTTCTTTTGGCTTGTAACATAATTAACTTTCAGACAAAAGGTGCTCTCAAAGGCTAAGAACATTTCCAACTGCATTTTAACAGAAGGCAGGAATGTTTTGGGAGACTTTTTTATTTGCTATGCTCCATGAAAAAAAAAAGCTCAATAACAGAAGAGCACAGTAAGTTACAGCTCCAATAATATTTTTCCAATACACGTTGAAATATTATGGAATAAATGTGTTTTGTAAAAGTTATCAGTTTGTTTCATATTCCAAACCCACATCTTCTTTTTCGAACCTGTTGCCCTGCATTCATATTAGATTCCATCTCACTCAGTTGTGCGATAATGGAAACTGCTCTCCCAGCATCCTGAAGTGCATCAGATTTGGAGGGCGAGGGCAAAAAAAAAAAAAAGTCAAGAAGGCAGCCATATATAAAAGGGACAAGGTTTCAACATATGGCTGTGGCTGTCATCTTCCCTTTTTGATTCTCCTTTCTCTCCCTAAAGTCTGTTCTGCATCTATACCACAGGTGAGGAATTATGGCCCTTTTACAACATGTGGACTTCAACTTCCAGGAATTCTTGAAGTTGAAGTCCACAAGTCATAAAGGGGCCATAGTTCCCCACCTCTGGTCTACATTGTGAAAACAAAATCTGCATGGTCTGTCTCCTTTGAAATAACAAGGACCTGAGACTTGAAGCAAAATATTTTAAAACTTCCCTATTTATTTGATTCTCAGATGTGTGATTCTTATAAAAGATTTCATGTTTGAGAAGATAGAAAGGCATGAATGATATGATTTTAAAAAGCTTTAGAGAAAAAAAAATTGGATTGCAAATCTCAGAAAACAGCAACTAACAGTTTTGGATACCCTTGAAGTGCATTCAGAAGTTTCAGCAGGTGCAGACTGCAACAGCCTGAGCAGGCTTTGAATCCCCCTAGAGTGGCCCATTTTACACGGCTGCTCCAGTAGCTATTGGTTTGCTTCCGGATCAATTCAAGGTGTTGGTTATGATCTTTAAAACCTTCCTTGGCATGAATTCAGGTTACTTAATGAACCACCTCATCCCGCTAGGAGAAGCCTGTCCCAATTGTGCAAGTGGAGGACGCCTTCTGAGAATCTCTTCAGTCAAGGAACTCAGATTGGTGGGATTCAGGAGCTTTCTCTTCCTCAGCACTGCCCCTCTTAAACATGCTTCCCCCTGGGGCAAAGTCTACTCCCCATCTTCCTGTCCTTCTGTAAGAGTCTGAAGAACTGGTACTGCCAGTTTGCCTGAGGACCCAATGGGTGAATATCACACTGGAGATGGCTATTACCATAGATTGATAGCAAACCCCACTGGCCTCGGCCCCGGCCCCGGCATCCTTCTCTCTCCCCACCCAGCTTTTAATTCATATTGCTGCTCTTTCTTTCTTTCTTTCTTTCTTTCTTTCTTTCTTTCTTTCTTTCTTTCTTTCTTTCTTTCTTTCTTTCTTTCTTTCTTTCTTTCTATGTTTTATTGTTTTACTTATATTTTTACCATTTTACATTATACTATTGTAAATTGCTCAGAATAGCCCCATAGTGAGATGGGCGGCAAATAAATTTAATAATAAATTAAAAAAAAACAGTTTTCAGATTTGATTACAACTGGCTATAAATCTGTTTCTTTTCAGAAATTTATCAGTAATAAAATAAAATACTAGGAAAATGGTAGAAAAATGCTCTAAATGCTAGAAAAATATGCTCATTGCTATATATTGCTTTTTCTTTGCTTTTTACCACTTTACAGTTAGACTCACCAACTTTCTTGGGCTAAATCAGAAACATGTTAGAGGCATAAAAATTAAAGTTCCTAACGAATGTATAACTCAATCAAAATGGCCATATATCCTGACTTTTCTCTTTAAAAGGATGTTACGGTCTCTGTGCACTGTTTTCAATACAATCACAGGCTTGTATACAACTTGATTTTTTTCAATTGGAGGTAGGACAAGTTAAATGTATTTTCTCTGCAGCCTGGCTCTGCCATGTTAGAGAATAATTACAGATTTAACAAAAAGAGACTTTAACAAACAATCTAAGCATTCAAGGTCTCCGGATATTTTGCAGTGCAGTAGATACACGATCATCCGATTTTCTCATGATTTGGACAGATCTTTTTAAATATTTTGTTGCAGCTACAGAACCAGCAGCAATTTCTTTGTGTGATTTATTGCTATAGAAAAAGGTAATAGGATATGACATATGAAAGGCATACTGCGCAGACCTGCTGGGGTTTGTGCTGTCTCCATATTTCTTTTTCCATCCATGTGTGAAACGTAAAGTCTTTTACATCTTTGGAAAGCTACATACATTTGTGTAACTAATTTAGAGAAACATTTCCACTGTTCTTCACTGTAACTACTGTCCTGGATCTTCTCACTGAACACACTAGTTGATGAATCTGTGTGGGGATGTGTTTACCCTCATTCACTAAATCAGTGTTTCTCAATCTTGGTACTTTAAGCTGTATGGACTTCACATCCCAGAATTACCCTGCTGGCATGAGGCAACTAGCATAGCTGGCTGGGAGTTGAAATCCACCTAGCCTAAAGTGCCAAGTTTGAGAAACATAGATCTTGATTCTTCATTCATTTCACTTAAGTATCCTTTTGATCCAAAGATGCCTATAAACATTTCCTTGCTAAATTCTGTTTTGAATTCCATCTTGCATTAGTTTCACTAAATAGTACATTCTCAGTATAAACTATAAACAATTATTATAAAATAACAGGAATAAAATTGCAACTTTCAGATATTTAAGTATATACTCTGGGAAAACACTTAAACATTAGAACAATGAGAGACTGAGATATGTATCTGGACCAGTCTTTAGATACTTTCTAGATCTATTGATCTATCTACAATTCTAATTCAGTACAGCCATTGGCTAATACTGTTTGAGAATTGAAGTAAAATGAAATTTGGAAGGCATTACGTTTACAAAGGCTAACAGGGATGAACTTTTCTAATAAAAAATTTAATCTAAATTTATAATAAGCAATATACTGTTCTGCCACAAGAGAGCAGTAGTGTTGTAGAAATAAACCTTAGAAGCTTCAATATGTGCCCATCTAATTGTTCATTACTTTGAGATATCTGGTGCATTTGATATCTGGCACACACTTCAATTCTCAATATGAACCATGCAGTTTGAAAGTAAAAACAAATATTTGAAGTCATTCTATTAAAATATTTCTGTCTCCATACCATTTCGCTTTTGGATGGCTTCAAACTTTCACATTCAGTTGTATTTCATATTACATTCAATTACAAAGTTGCTTTATTAATTTAACATTATCTTCTATACTAGAACTAATTACATTCCCTTAAGTGGAAAATCAAATCAGGAAGCCATTTCCTTCTTAGCCTGCAAAATGTCAACACAAAGGCATTCAACAAAAGTACATGAATGGCTAACAGTGCCTCCTCTGTTTATCTCTCTCTCCTACGTGAAAGGGAATTTATGGAAATATAAACTTGGACATTTCACTTGTTGAACAATATGCAAATTAATCAACATTCAAGATGGACATAAAAGAAGATTGAGAAGATACACAAAGGTGGTTTTCCCCTATTCAACTGTTTTGCACAAGGAGAAACAGTATTGCCATGCTCACCATTTTAACCAAGCTATGAGACGATTACTCAGGATATCTGTTACAGGAACCTAAACTAGGATCTAGTTTAGAGTTATTAAGCATAACTCTATGTTGGAAATGCTGTGCTCTGCTGGAAATTCAACACAGCACTGCAATTTCCCTGTATTTAGACATCAGGTTTCTTCTCTCTTTTTATTCTTTTACATGGATACACACATTATTTCACATAAAAATAAATTCTGACAATTGGTTTGTGAAACCCATTAAAAACATATTTCATTGGAATGGCAGTGAAGTGATACAAAGGAGGCCTGTTTTAAACTGTAATTAAATGATCATTAGTTAATAAGTTTTAATGCGCTATTTAATTTTATCTGCACTGAACAACAGAACTGATGACTGAAGGCGTGTTTAGATGATGCATCAGTAAGAATAATCTCAGAAAATATTTTTACTTTGAGGTGAGAGTAATGGAAGAATACCATCATCAGATTGTATATATTAAATAGACATATATATATATGTTTTGTTCTTCTTGAGAGAAATCTTTTTAGCTGGTCAGTTAGGCAAAACATTGATTAATCTACATGATTTGTAGCTCTAATATAAGTCAATGATACTATCTCAGTTGACATCAAAAAAGAGAAGAGATATTCAATGACACCTTTGATCTAGACAATAAAAATAATTGGTCCTCTATTGGATGCTTCATATAATAAGATCCTATATAGTGGTGCAACCACGGCAACTTTAAGATGTGTGGACTTCAACTCCTAGAATTCCCCAGCTAGCACACTGGCTGGAGGATTCTGGAAGCTGCAGTCCATGTGCATCTTAAAGTTGCCCAGGTTAAGAAATGCTCTTATCTAGGCATTTTAATAAGAAGCAGGTCTCATTCTTGGAAACACTGATGATGTGATAAGAGTTCATTTACCTGATTCACATGATCCAGCTTAGGACAGGGCCTTCCACCATTGTAAGGCTTCTCTCGGAGCCATTTAGACCTGACTTTCACTCCACTTCCGCAGGATTTGCTACAGCGCGACCAATTGGACCATTCACTGAGTTTGCAGTCTGATGGACATGGAATAATGCAAGCCTCCTCAATGTAGCCTGAGTGAAGAGAAATGGACACACAAGTTCAGAACAACCATAAGCCCAGCTGGGCCACACCTAATTGTCCATCTCATCCCACATTCTTTTTCCCAAGTGGGTATTTCCCATAAGCACACAAGCCATGCATGAAAGTTACTACTCTCTTTTGATATTGACCTTAGCAAGTGATACTCCTGTGGAACATGAAGTTTGTATTTCATTGGCTAATAATTGATATTGGTCTCTGCAAGTTTGCCAGCTCCTCTTATAGTCAGCTAAACTGGTTACCCTCAGCTTATTCTCTAATGTTCTGTAGTGATCTGCATCTAACTTGGAACAGTTTCATTGGTTGACATCAGATTCTAAAATTCTAAGATATACACAATTGCTTCACTCTGTCCAGTTGACAGTTTGTTTACAGCAACCTTGCCAATCTGATGCCCTCTGACATGCTGGGACCACAGCTGTCAAAATTTCCCATCCTCTGTGGTTTTAGGAGCCAAACTCTGATTTGACAGGACTTTCTTAGTGAAGAAATTCCTTCATCATTAAAGCTTTATTAAAATTCAGTGGAGACCCTGATATACACCCCTAGAGACAATGCCAAAGTAAAATCTGGGCACCTGCATGGTATCTTATTAGAATTTCTGCTCCTTCAATATCTACAATTCTGCTTTTCTGACAGCTGGAAAGTAATTGACACCCTGCCTCTCATTATATCACTCCCCCTCCATTCCTCTCCATAGCTACATGTGAATAAAAATACCTTCCAAGTGAGATTGCTGCTCTATTTCTCTGCTCTTCCCACTCCAGAGAGGGTTATCAATGACATGCATTTGTTTACTCACTTATCTAAATGTGCTTAATCCTCTTAAAACTAGTGAGTTTTCACACTTTGCATGCACTATTAAATCTGTAAAAATTGACTGATTTACCACATCCAGATAAACAGCCATCTACCCTGTGTATTAGACGGAGAATAATTCCTTTGAAGGATTAGCAAGTGGTTTGCTCTAATTGACAAAATTTTAAAGGTGATGTTAACAATACTATTAGAGACATGTTGGTGCAGAGGGTAGAATATAGTACTGCATCTGTAAAACCGCTTAGAGAGGGCTGTAAAGCACTATGAAGCAGTATATAAGTCTAGGTGCTATTGCTATTGCTACTAAGCTAAGCACTGGACACTTAGGATGATCAAACAACAACCCTGTTTTATCATGAGAGTCTAAATCCTTGTCCTTTTAGAAATGTGTATATATTTATACTAATATGTTGTTGTAGGTATGGTGTTCCTGCACAGATGATTACTTTGGACTATATTAGCAGCTAAAAGTGAACATCTGAGAAACCAAAGGGAGGTAATCAGCATGTTCCAGGCAACTTCAATATTTGCGAAAGTTTAAAATATTGATGTTCCCTGGAAATCAATTTAATATGCTGATATCTCCCCTTGGTTTCTAAGATGTTCACTTTTAGTTTCTCATGTGGTTTATTAGTCTATTAATAAACTAATAATTCAACAACAAATTTTGAATATCAATTTGCAGAGGAAAAAATGGACTGGACTGTCCAGCTTCAAATTCTTTTTATGTGCACTCTGGGTTGAGGAGATATAACAAAATTTTCTTGTGGGTGAAGATTTATTCCATAGAATTTAGATATTTAATTATCATCTGCTGCACTACTTTTTTTTTCCTTAGGAAGTGCTCAATGGTCTTTTCATATGCCCAAATGGTCATATGAGCAGCTTTTATTAGTTGGTGACATTTCAACTGATGAACATTGTCATCAAAGGAACAGGGATCTATCTTGCTTTAATTCAGCATGTGACAAAATCCTGTATTTATTTATTTATTTTAAAAAAGGAGGCCTTTTAATTTTAACTAGATTGGTGCTGCTTTTAGGCAACCAATGAAGCATTATATTTTTGCTAATTGCATCTCACAAAAAATCTCTCTGAAAAGTGACATGAAAATTGCTTTCTACTTTGGAAAATTGCTTAAATAAATAATATGAAGCAAATATATGATTGTCACTCTGCACTTCATAACACTTGGCTGTTAATTCATGCATGTTAAATATGTCCCGTGTGATTTAAGCTCTGTTCTCTGAGAGCTTCTGTAGAAACTCTAAGGTGCCTGCTACTGCAATAAAAGAATTAGAGTAGTCCTGAAATTTGCACTGCAATTTCTGAAACATTTTCTTCTGATGAGAAGGAAACTTCTATTTTAGTCTCAGAGAGCTTAGTAATCTTATTTCAGATTTCTCTTGATGGTGTTTTTGAAATTATTTAATTATTGGAAGTTTGGATGCTACTGTTGCTGCATCTTTTCACAAATCTTAAAACTTCCCAGGTTATCCATACTTCTTACTCTAAAAAAGTCTGGTGGCTTTAACTGCAGCAAGGGAAGGCAGAAAGGCAACAGATTGCTGGAGAAAATACTGTACAGAGAAAGGCAGCATGTTCACATACACACATTCCACCCATGAGAATGTCATTTTAATTTTCTTCTCCTTTAAAATATGTTTCACTAGCAAATTCTCTTTTTATCAGTCTGAATAAGGACTGTAGAAAAAATGCTGAATTTTCTCAATGGCCTTCAAAAGGCCCGCTGGCATAGAAATGGTGATTAACAACTACTTGGTTGGGAACAACACAAAATGACGCATGGCCGTCCTTGGGCTGGATAGCGGGCACATGTAATTGTAGGCCTGCAGGACCACAGACACAGAATGAAAATGCAGCCAGAAGCCTTGAATTAAAACAGATGCTCACTCCTCCAAACAAATCTAGAGAAAGGCATGATCAAATCTAGAGAAAGGCATTCAGAAGAATTATTAACTTAGATTAACAAAGAGCTCATCTAATCTGCCAGTACACAATAATCTATTTCAAACCTGAAGCAGCTGATGATAGAAAACAATGTTGTGGGTCACCCACTTTAGTTCCAATTTTATGAAACAAAGGTCTTCTACGAAAAAGGAATTCAATTGGAAAAATCCAGCAAGAACACTTCTGTTCTTAAGGCAATGAAAACATTTCTCTATGGGCTTTTAGAAGTCAAAACTGAACTGAATTCTAAATAGGCTAATCTGTTTTCAATTGTTTCTACTTTTCCTGTTCATTACAAGACTATTAATAAATCTCATATCATCATGCATGTTTTCTCTGCTTGCCATTAATTATGTGGAAGCCAATATTCTACATAAAGCAGAGGGAGATGATGAGTTCAACTGCATCTTGGGCACAAAGTGAACTTGAAGGCAGATGATGGCAAATTTCTGAAAATCTTGTCAAGAAAATGCAGGGACATGTCCCAGATTCCCAGTAGTCATCCGTAGTCAACACTGACTCAAAGACATAGACATACAGACACAGACACAAATCTTCCTTACACTTCTCACACAATCCTGTGTTCCATTTACGTTGATCTGACTAGCTAGCCTTCAAGTCTTACATAAATGCCTTTATTATTATTATTGGTGGTGGGTTTTTTTGTAAAATCCAAGGTATAGAAAATTCAGGGGGGAGGAAAGAACTTAGATCTTACCCAGCCTTTTATTATAAAAGGAGCAATATAACAAAATGGTATTTGTAGTCCATGAGATATGGAAGGCACTAATGAAGGAAGACTATCCTTCTTACTTCAGGATCATAGTCTAATATGCCAACAGTAGTCAGGTATTTTATGTAGAATTTGTAGAGTTGTATACCAAACTTACAACCATAAGAACAATTTTTTGAGACTTTAGGATAGGTGGACCTCAACTCCCAGATCTCTTCAGCTAAAGTCAACATATCTTAAAATTGTCAAGGTTCAAAAACATTGGTTTAAATGATTACTCCTATAAACTGAAATAAATAGACTGTAGGGGAAATACATGGAATCCCATCCATTATATAAGATACAGGAGGATGAAGATGAAAAACTATATACCCATGAAGACTGAAAAATCAATATATGTCAATTATCTCCTTGGGCTTATTTGTGTTAGCTAAATCTGCACTATTCAAAAAAAAAAGGCTCAACATAATACAGTAGCAGGAATTTGCACAGACTTGGCATCTCTCTAACAATTGCTTAATTGAAGCATTGAGTCTCGCAGCCCCTGCAGGATACATCTCAAATGTTTTGCTTCAAACATTGTCACAGACCAGAGCCCACTCCGTTTCCTATGCAAAGCTTCCAGCTGTTTTACATTTCTTTCTCTTTTTTGTCTGCTTCTTTTTCATTTCTCTGGTGCATAAGTTACCTGCCAACAGGTATTTCTTTTCCCTGTGTGCTTTTCTTGCTTGTTGAGAAATTGATGCATCTGTTGAATTAATTACCATAGTACTGCCTTCCAGACTTAGATTAACCTGATTGTTGATTGGAAAATGGAAGACAAGGCCACATACAGTACTCAAAAGAAAAGGACAAACGAAGTTTCCATGCTAATGATTAGATTTGCTGTTTTCTCAAGAAGGAGACCCTCCTCCTGAGAGGATTACATAGATCTATTTTTGTCCTGTGATTAACAAGAACAATCAGGAGCCAGAAAGCCAGGTGTCTGGCAGTAAAGAAATGCTACTGATGCAATTAAAAAAAAAAAGTCAACATGGGACATTGCTATATGACAGCAAATGTCCTGGGCAAGGACAAAATGCACACACTACATAAATAAAATAATAATTCTATGATTTGTAGTGACTTCTAATAAATATTAATTTTTGTTGCAGTTCTAATGCATCATCATAAAACTGTCTCATTAAACAGATTTGAAGAACAATGATACATATTACATATTGAGTTTTGACATTTTATTTAGTGACAAGCTAATGATGTTTATAATTCAGGGCCAAATCCTACTTACTAGAGTCATTCATATTTGTTTAGAAAATCTTTTGGCCCTTTACAAAGGCAGATTTTAATGCCTTGTTTGAAACAATTAAAATGATTTGTTTGTGGTGAAATTCCAAAAGACTCTCAGCACATAACTTCTTGTCCTTGTATTTTTTTATCAGGAATTGACTG